TCACTGCGACCGCCGCGGCCGTCGACCTCGGAGTTGACGCGGCCGCGGCTACACGACGGGTACAAGCCAAAGCCAGGAAGCGACAGAGCTCAGCCGCAGCTAGGTTTCGTAAGATACACCGACTACGGAGTACTGCCCTGCAGGCTCGAATCTCAGCAGGACTCTGGCGTACTGGAGCTCTCCCCGAAGGGGTATTCGGTCATCAAGTGCACGGTCTCGCTCGGCACGCTCTACTACGATGGCGGCGTCAAGCCGCTATTGCAGCCACGGGAGCAGCAGCGGGCCGATGCCTCACCTCTCTCCTGGGCGCCACCTTCGACGGCATGGACCCAGGAGTTTCCCTCAGGATCGAATTCATCGAGGCGTGGCTGCAGCATTGGATGCGGCACCCGAGCACGCACGCCAGGATTATCAGAGCATGGCCAAGGATCAAGACCACCCTGCTAGCCGCGGGCCCCAAGCTGTGGTGCAGGGTCAAAGGGCCCACAGGCGCGGCCATCGCGACCTTGCTGGAGGCCAGCTGGGACCCGACTACAGCTACTACGTGGAGACGCACGAAGGACGGCTACATCGAGGAGTGGAACCTTCCCCCCGCCGATGACCCTGATCTCCTCGACGCCGACATCCACGCAGTATTGCAGGACCTCAGCGAGGATTTGCACAGGCTCCTCTGGACTCAGGCCGCTACGCACGACCATGGTGACACGCTGGCTGGAGGCGCGGACATGGTCACCATACGCATCGAACAAAGGAGGTTCCTCGCAAATGGAGATTTCAGCGATTGGGCCCTCAACAACACCGTCATCAGTGGTGGACAATGGACCAGGGACCGCCCCTACAACGCGGGCTACCAGATCGACAAGAACTGTGACCGATGCAGTGCAGGAGTACCTGAGACCTTGTTTCACCGAATGTGGCAGTGCGAGGCGAATGTGGGACCTGATTTTGAGGCCAGCGACAAACTACTACCGCGAGCCGTGGCGGGAGCCAATGCAGACCCTGCCCTTTGGCTCCGTGGCATCCCCCCTGTCGCTCTCACTACGCCCGCGTTCGAGCCATTGACTGGGAGGGACGGGTGGGAGTTTGTTGGTGCGGTGCGGGAGGGGTTGCCGTCATGGGAAGAAGCTCGTAACGCTGAGGGCGAGTTATTTCTTTTCGGCGACGGGTCTGGAGGCGCATTTTCCGACGACGTCAGGCGACGCCGTGTTGGTTCTGGCCTCGCGGCCCTCCGATGGGACCCTCCCTCGGCCTCCTGGACCCTCCACGCGGGCCTCCTCGCCCCCCTCCCAGGCCCCCGCCAGACTGTCCCAAGAGGTGAATTGCATGCGTTTTGCTTGGCACTGGAGACGTGCCACCAGGAGTTTACGTTTGTTACCGATCATCTAGCCCTGCAGCGCGGCTGGCAGAATGGCAGATGTCTCAGACCTGGCAGCCTCAGAGGCAAGAATAAGAATGGAGATCTCTGGCTGAGAATTCGGCACCTCGTGCAAGATCGATCTGGCGGCGGCGCCTCTGTCACGGTGCTCTGGACCCCATCTCACGCCGATCCCCTCACGCTGCATGGCTTCCAAAAATTTCTGGCTCTCGGCAACCAGCATGCCGACGAGCTTGCGGGAAGAGCGGCCCACAAGTCGGCCACCCTCGCCCTCCCGCCCGTCCCCAGGACCGATGAATACGACGCTATCGCTGCCATCGTCCGACAGAGAGGGCGACTGATTCTACGTACCTTAGGCAAGAATTCGGACCCCCGAGGGCAGTGGCCAGAGAGGCAACCCCACCAGGAGGCTGCCCCGCGCTCGCAGTTGCAGACCGCGATCGCGGCTTCTCAGCACAAATTCGAGCGTTGTGCAGACAAATGGAGATGCCCTGCCTGCCTCATCATCGTTGATGCTTGCCATGTTATTCCAGCTGCCGCCACTGAATGTGTACCGCCTAGCCCCCTCCCCGAGTTCGCCGCATGTGGTGAAGTGCTGTGGTCGAGGGGACCCCGTGTGATCAGTGGCAAGTTGATCCACCCCTCCCACACCTTGGCCACCATCCCCAAGTGGCAATTGTTTTTCTGTGTTAAGTGCGGCCACACTGCCACGCACCAAGTTAAAAGCCTTCTTTTGCCGTGCCCTCTCTCCCACCAAGTCGCGGAGCGCAGGGCCATGGGACCCACTGGCAAAGGCCTCGAGAACCTCAGCAGGATCAAGCGAGGCCTCCACCCGTCCAGAACGGGTCCCAGCAAGTCTGTGCTAGAAGCCTTGCACGTTTCGGCAGCCGATGCCGCGATCGGTTCCTACGCGGCGGGAGCTGCCTCTGAGTAAATTGCGAGGCCAGGGGGGCCTGTCGCGGTGGGCCGTGGGATGTCGCCCCCCACGGCCCTCCGAGAAAAACTGGATGGCCCCCCTGGCATCTCTGGGTTCCGAACGGACTACGTCCGATTGCTCCACTCCACTCCTCCGCCCGCCTCCTTTTCCTCCTCCTCCTCCTCCTCGTTCTCCCTCCTGCTCCTCCTCCTCCTGACACAGACACCAAACCATTGGAATTCCTAAACGAGACTTCTACCCCTGACAATTCCAATCAACCGATTACATCGACATTAACACAGCGACGCCGGCAGCGGCACCGGCGGCAACACCAACAGCAACGCAGCAACGACACCGGCATACAGCACCGACTACCGACGACCATCAACAGGAGCAGCCACGACACCGACCACGCCGATTCGATCCTGACCAGGTTCATGAACATCCTACTACTTATCCCAGCTTCTACTGATCCGGGCTCGCACGCATATCGTTTCTTGCCTGGTTCGCGCACTGGTCCTCGAGGAACCTCGTCCACGACGTCTATTCGGACACGATCTGAGGCCACGGCCTCTTGCGCCCTGCCAAACAGGGCACGGGCACACCTGTGTGCCCGACTCTGGCGCCCTCGCCTCCTCCTCCTCCTCCTCCTCCTCCTCCTCCTCCTCCTCCTCCTCCTCCTCCTCCTCCCTCCTCCTCCCCCTCCTCCTCCTCCTCCTCCTCCTCCTCCTCCTCCTCCTCCTCCTCCTCCTCCTCCTCTTCCTCCTCCTCCTCCTCCTCCTCGTCCTCTTCCTCCTCCTCCTCCCTCCACCTCCTCCTCCTCCTCCCCTCGTCTCTCCTCCTCCCTTTCCTCACCCTCCTCCTCCCTGGCCTCCTCCCTCCCCTCCCTGGGGGGGGGAGCGACGAGGCGGTCGCAAGCACAAAGATGCAGGAGATGCGCGCGGAGTTCTTGGATCAGCGTGGACCCCAGCGGCGGCGCCTCTGGGCGCCGCCTGCAGCGCGCATCGCGCGCCAGGGAGGGGGGCGCAACGCCGATTCCAAGAGTCGCGCGGAACTCCGAAGGGGTTCTCTAGCTCCTTCGACGGCCACGCCCCCAGACATGATCGCGTTGTGAAAAATTCGGGACGGGAGGTTTCTGGCTATTTTCGGCCTCGGGGGGCCTTCGACTGGCCTCGGGAGCGTCAAAAAACGATCCAGGACGAAAAAGCTGTCCTGGGGAAAGCGTCGGGACTTCCGGGGACGCCGTCCGGAAAAAATCAGGACGTCGCATTTTTGGGTCCGCATATTGCTCTTTTCCCTGGCCTCCCCCCTCCTCCGTCTCCTTCGCCTCCTCCTGCTGACGATGACGACGACGCGCTGCAGGCAGGTCCACCCACGATGGATGTGTGCCCTGGTGCCCTCTTGCCCCCCATTCTCTCTCATCCTCTCCTCGCCCCTCCTCGCCGTCAAGCCACGGTGGCTCGAGTGGTCCCCTGCAGCGCCGCTCGGCCGTCGTCACTGTCCCCTGCCGCTTGAGGTCCTGGCGTTCGAAGCAAGGCCAGGTTGAATGTGTTTGTCTCCACCTTCGTGTACATGAGGCTGCTGCTCGCGTTCCCACTGGTTCTTCTTGTCTAAGCATCTTGGTGGGCGGGCTGCGGGGCGTGCAAGTGCTCGTTGTGGCCATGGGCACCGATACTGAGTCCGAGGCGTTGTTTGTCATCCTGGGGCGCCTCGGCACGATGGGCCTCGGCGTCGTAGTGAAGTTGCTGGCGCGATTCGGCGTTTCCTTCGTCTGCCTTTCCCCTTCCTGCCGGTCGTCTTCTTCATCGTCGTGCAGTGCCTCATGGCCGACCGCGGCGTGTGGCTGCTGGTGCACGCGTGTGTGTGGTGATGTTTGACCAGGCCCGCCCAACGACCCCCGCCTGTCCGCAGGGACGAGGGTGGTTATGCGTTGCTGGCACTGGGATTGTATACTGCCGCTTGGAGGCGGCCCAGGTCCTGACGTCTTCAGGGCGTGGCGTTGGAGATTCGCGAGATACTGGTATTTGAGCGGTGCTACAGCCTGCTTGCTTCCAGGGTGCCCTGGGTTTCTTGGGTTTCGATGGTTCTGTGGGAAAGCCAAAACCAAAATCGAGGGACGCCCTGGGGTCTCAGGGTTGGATGTGTTGTGGACGGTGTCTCGTGGTCGAGTTCCTACTGCATCTTGCCGTGAGTTGTGGATCCCGTGGGCGCGTGTGGGCGGCGACTGGGTGGAACGATTCTTCTTGTATGTGGCCAGGTGTTGTTTAGCATCGCGGCATGTGTTTCGAAGTTGCCTGTGTTCATGGTGTTGGTTTTCATCATGCGGGGGTTGTTTCGTTGGTCATGGGTCACTGTTCGCAGTCCTGATTTTGAGTGCTTGAAGTCAGACGCGCTCTTTGTCGACTACGACACGCAGGCGCCCCTGATCTGAGCTGTGCAGTATGTCCCGGAATGCAAATGGCCACCGCACCTTTACCAAAACCATCAGATACCCCGCCACGCCCGCTTCCGTTTCTTACTCATCTCTCCTCTGCTGGCCATCCTTTTTCATTACATTCCTTTTCCTCGCTGGTAGTTGTGCATCCTCCTTTCTCATTATCCTACTCTTCCTCCTCCCCATCCTTCTGACTAACTCGTCCCATCGTTTCTTCAGCTGTCCGCCCGTCTCTCATTCCTTCCGCCTCCTCTCGTTTCGTGCCCACGTCGCAGCCATCATCGACACCGGCTCGAACATCATCGCCGGGCCGTTGAAGACGATCAGCAAGATTTCAAAGACCTCGGTTGGGGAAGGGAATTGAGGAGGGTTGGTGGCATTTGGGGCCGGGCAGTTGGACCCAATCTGGAGGAGGAGGAGGCGGGAAGGGGGAACAGAGGTCAACGACTGAACCCCGCTTCTTTGCGCGCTTACATAAATGTATTGTTGACCCTGGACGCGGCCTGAGTTACCCCACGCCACGCACTAGCCGTGTCTAAAACAGGTTCGTGCAATATGCATGTTGCCGTGGCCTTCTCCGATTCGATCGACCCAGTATCCACTTCGCAGGTTTCGAACCGATTCGACGTCGATTCTCCAGACATCCAACGCGGCCCGATGCTCGCACGGTGCCAGTGCGCATCCTGGCGCAGCCGATCCGATCCGAGTTTGACCGCGTGCCGATGCGGTACGACGCGAAACACGCCCCGATCCGATACGACTTCCCGACTCGATGCCAATTGATCTTGCGCTGATGTCCCTCGGGCGGGTGGTAATGGGTGGGTGACCCACATGGGGGGTGCAGAGAAAAGGGCCCTGAACGGGCCCTTGAGGTGAGAGCCCCTTTGGGGGCCGGCTGGTGCCCAAAAGTGGCCATGCGTAAAGGGCCCCGAGTCTTTACGTAGAAAAAACGGTGTCGTTTGCGCCGACATTGCGCGTAAGCTGCCTGCGCAAGGTCTCGCGTAAGCGCCCTCATCTCAATGTGGCGTGCCGCGCTGGCGGCCCGCGTGAGCCGCCGCGCAAGGTCGCCATGTCATCTCGCGTAAGACCCGTTTTTGATCGTCGCTCGGTCAGTTGGTGCCCAAAAGTGGCCCTAAAGGGCCCCTGTAGGGTCTTTCTCTTCACCCCCCATTTGGGTCACCCCCCATTGCCACCCGCCCGAGCCCCCGGCCTCCCTGTGTTTTTTCGGAGCAGGGCCAGCTGAGAGGCAGCGGCAGCTCCTCGACGCCCCTGGGCCCCAAATCCGCTCCAGAGATCGGTTCCTGGACCGCTGCCCGGGGGGCCCCTCCTGACACGATCCTTCTCCTCCTTCATCCTTCTCCTCCTTTTCCTCCTCCTCCTCCTCCTCCACCTCCTCCTCCTCCTCCTCCCTCCTCCCTCCTCCTCCTCCTCCTTCTCCTCTTCTCCTCCTCCTCCTCCTCCTCTCCTCCTCCTTCTCCTCTTCCTCCTTCCTCCCCCTCCTCCTCCTCCTCCTCCTCCTTCTCATCTTCCTCCTCTTCCTCCTCCTCCTCCTCCTCCTCCTCCTCCTCCATTCCTTTTCCTTATGAATAACTTCTCCCTGTCGCACCCCGAGGCAAGTTTTTAGGGCGGGCCGGGCGTTTCGCTTGAAACTTCCGCATGTATGATTCTGAAGCTGCAGAAATGGCAGCAGTTTCTCAGATGCAGGGCGGGTGGTTTTCACAATGTGGCTCTCGCCTTAGCGCCGATCACATTCGTTAAAACATGTGCAAGTGCTTCACGGATTGAGGGCGGGTCGTTTTCAAAATGTGGTTCTCGCCTTAGCGCCACGCACATTCGTTTTGAACATTTGCAAGAGCTTCACGGATTGAGGGCGGATCATGTTCAAAATGTGGTTTCGCCTCAGTACCGCGTCCACTCGTTTTAAAACATGCAAGAGCTTCACGGATTGAGCGCGGGTAGTTTTCAAAATGTGATTATCGCCGTAGCGCCGCGCACACTCTCTTTGTTAACATCGCAAGAGTTTCACGGATTGAGGGCGGGTTGTTTTCAACATGTGGTTCTCGCCTTAGCGCCGCGCACATTCGATTTTAAGATTTGCAAGAGCTTCACGTATTGAGGGCGGGTTCCTTTCCCAAATGTGGTTCTCGCCTTAGCGCCGCGCACATCCGTTTTCAAATGTTGGAAAGAGCTTCACGGATTCCAATGATCAGCGTGCCAGAAATGGGTGTTTGACGGATTCAGGATTATACAGGTGCAACAGTCGTGAAGATTTGTTGCGTTGAGTTCCCAAACATGGCGTTCTGACATGATTCCAGATCGTCAGGAAGCAGCAGTCAGATCCCGTGGCGTGGACATCCCGAGAACAATGTTTTGGCGTTCTTCAAGCTCTTCAAACGGTTGCCTTCCACGAGGCAGTTCCTTCAATGGGAATTAACCGTTGTAGGGGCCTACGAAGAAGGAGCTTGTAGGGAGGGTGAATTCCAACATCGTTGATGATTATTGGGTTTACACTTGTCCTCCTCCTCCTCCTCCTCCTCCTCCTCCTCCTCCTCCTCCTCCTCCTCCACCTCCTCCTCCTCCCCGCGCCGAACCCGTGGTGCGCCGAGGCGTTCTTGGCCGCTGTGCACGCGCCGTCTGGGGCCGCGCCCAGGACCTTGCGGAGCAAGGCAGGCGCCACTTCCGCGCGGCGAGCCCCCATCTCCGCCAGCGGCTCCGTCTCGCCTGTCAGGGCGCGGACGGCCGTCGCAGTGGCTGCGGCGACAGCGTGACGCTCTGCTCCGCCACGGGCCGCCGCCAAGACCGCGGCGCACACCAGCGTCGCATTCCCTGGAAGGGGGGGACCGCCGCCACGCCGCCAGCGCCGGGCATGGCCCAGCGCGGTTGGCATGAGCCAACATGGCTACGGATAAAGGGGGGTAGGGGAGGAGGAGGAGGAGGAGGAGGAGGAGGAGGAGGAGGAGCAGAAGGAGGAGGCGGAAGGAGGAGGAGGAGGAGGAGGAGCAGGAGCAGGAGCAGGAGCAGGAGGAGGAGGAGGAGGAGGAGGAGGAGGAAGAGGAGGAGAGGGCTGCGTTCACTGAACACTCTAGCCGATAGGAACCAGGAACCAGGAGGAGGAGGAGGAGGAGGAGAACTTTCCCCGAGGACGACGTCCCTAGGAGGAGGAGGAGGAGGAGGAGGAGGAGGAGGAGGAGGAGGGCCGGTAATCCGGGAGCGGGGGGGGAGGACGAGGACCGAGGACGGAGGAGGAGGAGGAGGAGGAAGAAGGAGGGAGGACGGAGGAAGAGGAGGGGGAGCGTTTGGTCATGCCCTCTCCACTCTCCTCCGAAGGACTTCCTGCGGCATCCTGCGGCATTTCACGGCGCGCCTCCCTGTTTCGGCGGCCTATGCCCGCCTGTCCGCCAGCAGGATGCTGAACGTAAAGACGGATTGCTCCAACCTGAAGGACCTGCCGCCCCTGAAGCTGCACTTCGGCTCGTTCGAGGCCACCATCCCCGCGAAGGCATACACCATGAAGGCCACCGTCCCCATCCCGCGCCTCTTGTGCACGCCCCGCGCCGAGAGGGTCCTGGGGGCTTGTGGGGCAGGCCCGCACTGCCTTTTGGGAAGCATCACCCTGACCAGGTTTTGCCGGAGGGGTTGGCTGGGAGGGTTGGCCAGGATTGGCCAGAAGGTTGGTCGGTCTTGGTCGGCGTTGGCCGGAGGATTGGCCGGGGCAATTGTTCGATTGCCCTTCCCATAACATGAAGCAGGATGAAGATACGTCGCCCCAGGGCGCTCATGAGTGCTCTCGGAGCGTCCAGGAGCCCTCCGAACGGCCGCGTTGCCCGATACATCCTCCATACCCGCCAGCTCTGAGAAGAAACGGAAGACACCGCGACCCCCCAGTCCTGGGTGTTTGCGAGTCAGTTATGTCCTGTTCTATGTATTCCCCAGGTGCGCTTTTAGAGGGCGTCTCGAGTAGCGGTGCTTATTGTGACGATGGTCCTTCTGTCTCAAACAGATCCTTGGGGCCTTCCCCCAGGACGGGTGCTTCGTCGTCCGTCATTTTCTGACTGTCTCGGGGCCCTTGGAGGGCCCCAGACAGGAGCTCGAAAAATGAGGAAATTACCCTGGCGACGTACCCAACCCCTGCGCAAAAGCGGGGCGCAAATAGTTTAGGATACTTTATAAGGGGGCGATGACGGAGCGAGGGTTACATATGTCTGTAGACGGAATTCGGGAGACTCGCAGGACACCGGCTACAGGAAAAGGGCTTGATAAAGCTGATGAGTTACAACTCCTGAGCACTCCTAGCCACTTCGAAAACGGGGATCACAGCAGGCCTCGAAAGTGGCACCGATCACAGATCGCAGCCCCGCAGGGATGGCGAGGTCTAATTTGGGTCCGCGCGTGGCGTCACTGTGCTGGGCCCCCCAGCAGGCCTCGAAAGTGGCGACAGTTTCACAGATCGCAGCCTCCAGGGGATGGCGAGGTCTCATTTGAATCTGCCCGTGGCGTCACTGCGCTGGGCCCCCCAGCAGGCCTCGAAAGTGGCGACAGTTTCACAGATCGCAGCCCCCAAGGGATGGCGAGGTCTCGTTTGAATATGCCCGTGGCGTAACTGTGCAGGGCCCCCCAGCAGGCCTCGAAAGTGGCGACAGTTTCACAGATCGCAGCCCCCCCAGAGATGGCGAGGTCTAATTTGAATCCGCGCGTGGCCCTCACTGTGCTGGGCCCCCCAGCAGGCCTCGAAAATGGCGACAGTTTCACAGATCGCAGCCCCCCAGGGATGGCGAGGTCTAATTTGAATTGCGCGTGGCCCTCACTGTGCTGGGCCCCCCAGCAGGCCTCGAAAGTGGCGACAGTTTCACAGATCGCACCCCCCCAGGGATGGCGAGGTCTCATTTGAATCTGCCCGTGGCCCTCACTGCGCTGGGCCCCCCAGCAGGCCTCGAAAGTGGCGACAGTTTCACAGATCGCACCCCCCCAGGGATGGCGAGGTCTCATTTGAATCTGCCCGTGGCCCTCACTGCGCTGGGCCCCCCAGCAGGCCTCGAAAGTGGCGACAGTTTCACAGATCGCAGCCCCCCCAGGGATGGCGAGGTCTAATTTGAATCTGCCCGTGGCGTCACTGCGCAGGGCCCCCCAGCAGGCCTCGAAAGTGGCGACAGTTTCACAGATCGCAGCCCCCCCAGAGATGGCGAGGTCTAATTTGAATCCGCGCGTGGCCCTCACTGTGCTGGGCCCCCCCACAGGCCTCGAAAATGGCGACAGTTTCACAAATCGCAGCCCCCCAGGGATGGCGAGGTCTCGTTTGAATATGCCCGTGGCGTAACTGCGCAGGGCCCCCCAGCAGACTTCGAAAGTGGCGACAGTTTCACAGATCGCAGCCCCCCAGAGATGGCGAGGTCTAGTTTGAATCTGCGCGTGGCCCTCACTGTCTCGAAAATGGCGACAGTTTCACAGATCGCAGCCCCCCCAGGGATGGCGATGTCTAATTTGAATCTGCGCGTCGCCCTCAGTGTGCTGGGCCCCCCAGTAGGCCTCGAAAATGGCGACAGCTTCACAGATCGCACCCCCCCAGGGATGGCGAGGTCTAATTTGAATCTGCGCGTCGCCCTCATTGTGTTGGGCCCCCCAGCAGGCCTCGAAAATGGCGACAGTTTCACAGATCGCAGCCCCCCGCAGGCAATACAGGAAGAGGCAGGCAGGGAGGAGGAGGAGGAGGAAGGAAGGAGTGGAGACCACATTGCTCTATTCAAAACGAATACCCAACCAAGGAGGGTTGGGAAAAACATACAGGGCCGTTTTCCTCAGGACCCTCTCCCTGTCGCCCGAGGAAGCAAGCATATAGATTTAAGTCGGACCTATCCTTCTACAGGGGGAATATTCAAAACTAGCCCAAAAATATTCCGGGGACGATGTTTTGAATATTTTTGAATATTTTTGGACTGTTTTTTTGCTTTCGTCGAATATCCGCCTGTAGGAGGACGTGCCCGACCTAAGTATGAACCTAAATATCGTCGGGGCTCCGCGCGGATTTCTTGGGCCTGCGCGCCCCCCTGGCTGCGCCTCCGGCGCCCCCCTCCAGCGCGCCTCGCGCGCCAGGGAGGGGGGCTTTGCGTTAGGTCGGGCATGTCCTCCTACCGGCGGATTTTGTGCGAAAAACAAAAAATCCCCAAACCAATTCACAAATGTTCACATCTAGTACTCAGAAAAAACGTCCCCAGACTATGTTTGACTATTTTTGAACATTCCTCCTGTAAACGGACATGCCCAGCTTGAGCGCAGCGCAGATCCAGGGAGTCCGCGCGGAGGTCCACAAGCTTATGTTCATGTGCCGTCGAGGCGCCGAGGGAGGTCAGGACCGTGTTGGGCTCGGGAGGGGCTCCTGCTGCTCGGGCCGCTCCTTGGGTCCTGGAGCCCGCTCGCGGCCCCGGCCCGCCGTGGCCAGAAGAGCCCCTCCGGTGCCTGGCCGTGCGCTCCGTGTGGCGGCACGCCGGCTGCAGCTCGGGCCGTCCTCGCCGACGTGCGCGCGCGAGCTGCCCGCGCGAGGTCGCGCGTGAGCGCCCTCGTCTTCGGCGTGGCGCGCCGCGCCGGCGGCCCGCAGAAGCCGCGGCGTGAGGCTGCCACGCCACCTCGCGCAAGACCCGTTTCTGATCGCCGCCTGCCTGTTCTGGCTCCGCTCGTGGCGACCAGGTCCTCTCGCAGGGCTGCACCTGAAACGTTGTGTTGTTGGACTTCGGCTGCCTTTTTGTTTGTTGTGTTGTTGTTTTGTCGTTTTGTTGTACTTTGTTTGTTTGTTGTTTCGTTGTTTTTGTCGAAGCGTTGTTTTGTTGTTTTGTTGGTGTGCCGGACTTCGGCTATGTTTTTTTGTTTGGGCAGGGAGGTACAGGACAGCAGGTCGAGCAAAACGAACATCAAAACGAACATAACGAAACACAGCGTTTAGGTCCAGCCGTGTCCTCTCGGTCCGAATTTGCCCTCGCCCTGCCTTCGTCTTGCCCAGGCTGGCCCGGGCTCCGCCGCCGAGGCCTTTCCGGCCACGCGCAGAGGGGGATGGGGGGAGGGGGGAGGGCTTCTTAGAAGCACTTCTGCTTCTTAGAGGGCGCGGGCCTTATCTATAGATGTAAGGCCGCGCCTTCTGAGAAGCAGCCTGCTTCTAAGGAGCATTCCCCCCTCCCCCTACCCTACCCCCTTCTAAGAGCCTTCCCCCTACTCCTCCTCCTCCTCCTCCTCCTCCTCCTCATTCCTCCTCCTCCTCCTTCCTTCCTCCTCCTCCCCCTCCTCCTCTCCTCTTCCCTCCTCCTCCTCCTTCCTCCTCCTCCTCCTCCCTCCCTCCTTCTCCTTCCTCCTCCTCCTCCTCCTCCTCCTCCTCCTTCTCCTCCTCCTCCTCCTCCTCCTCCTCCTCCTCCTCCCTCCTCCTCCTCCTCCCCCTCTGCGCGTGGCCGCCAAGCTCCGCTACCGAGGCCCCTTGCCGCGCACGCCCGGGGCGGGTGCGTGGACGGGGGGCGCGTCGGCCGCTGGGGTTGGGTGCGGCGGCTAGGCGTGCGCGTCGCTCGCCTCTCCGCGCGAGTCGCCTGGGCGGGGTCCTCCTCCTCCTCCTTCCTCCTCCTCCTCCTCCTCTCCTCCTCCTCCTCCTCCTCCTCCTCCTTCCTCCTCCTCCTCCTCCTCCCTCCTCCTTCATCCTCCTCCTCCTCCTCCTCCTCCTCCTCCTCCTCTTATCCCTTACCTCTTACCTCTTACCTCTTACCTGCCTGCGGAGGAAGGGTCCACTAAAGGCCTCCGAAAAAGGAGGGAAAGAAGCCGAGCCGCCTCCATCAAGGGAGGTTCCGTGTCATCCTCCTCCTCTCCTCCTCCTCCTCCTCCTCCTCCTCCTCCTCCTCCTCCTCCTCCTCCTCCTCCCTCCTCCACTTCCTCCTCCTCCTCCTCCTCCTCCGCCTCCGTCAATGGAGGTTCCGTGTCGTCCTTCTCCTCTTCCTCCTCCTCCTCCTCCTCCTCCTCCTCCTCCTCCTCCTCTTCCTCCTCAGCCGCCGCTTCTGCTCAAGCCTCCCTTTCAGCGGCCCAGCAGGCACCCCGCGCAGAGCAGCTCCGCCCGCCAGGGCGCCTTCCATGACATGCCAGCCTGGCTGGCCTCCATACTCTTCATAACGATCTGGATCGTTACGCCGTTCCTCAGTGGGGGAGTATATTATCCAATATCGCTGCTGGAGCTGCATCGCTGCCTCGTGCCCAACCACACCTACAGCGCCGCGGCCGAGAAGCTGCCCCCAGCTACGCGTTGGCGACTGCACGACGCCAGCTCAGAAGTCGACCAGCTCAAGATTCTTAAGCACGAAGTCTACACGTGGGGCTATGGCCGCGCACCGCTCACCAATAGCCATGCTGGCAGAGTGATCATGGTGAGCTACCAGCGGTTCGGTCCGCCAGCCGTCGTCGATATCAAGAGCCCGTTCAAGCAGATACAAGGACGCGCAAGTGCTCTCCGCTGCCTGCGGGGCGAGCTCGACCTCGCCTTCCTCGTGGCCTACTTCCCGCCTCGCTCGGGGCTAGCGGCAAAGTACATCCAGTGGGTCAAAACGGTCAAAGAGACGCTCAAGCGGATCAACAGTACGCTTCGTGCCACACCGACGTGCAGCACACCGCCGATAGGCATTGACCTCAAAGATCTTCTTGCTGGAACTGATGGATTCATTGCTACTGAAGTAATTGAAGCCTTCGGAGACTCGCAACTACACGGCCGGCCAGGTGAAGCAGCAGCCTGCAGGTATTACATGCTGGACGTGTACGGATGCTGCCTCCCCAACATCTCCTGGATGGCCGGCCCTACCTATTTCGGTGCTGCAGGACAAGTTACGAGACCTGATTACCTCGTGGTTCCTCAAGGGCTATTGCAGACTCCCCAGACATGCGGTATTTGGTGGAAGGCAGTGAAAGCAGCTCAGCAGCTCAAGGATAGCGCGCCGCGGGACCACGAGCCACTCATCGCCAGGGCCGACATCGTTATGCCCAACATCGTCTCTGACCTTCTTCGGTCGTTTTGGGATTGCGACAAAATGGCAGAGTATCTACCGACTGGTGATTATCGCAACGAGCTCACCTCAGCCATCGCGACCGCGCTGGAGAAGAACACAGATAACATCCGCGAGTTCAACGAGCAGGGCACTACTCACGCCTACTGGAAGATTCTGACCGACAGGCTCAAGACCACAGCCAAGCCCTACTTCGAGAGAAAACCAGAAAAGCCAGGTACCAGCAAGCAGCTCATGGCAGAGAAGCTCGAGCTTCTGAAGAAAAGTGCAGAGCTACGCAAGCAGTACATCGGCGCAGGGACTGACCGTGACATCGGAGAGAAGCTGGTCAGACTCACGAGAACCATCAAGAAGCAGAAGCAACGTCACGACGCAGCACGCAAGAGAGCTTCAGAGGCACAGATTTCTGAGCAGCACGCAGAACTACATCGACTCAGCAGGTGCATGGCAGGCACCAAGCAAGGCAAGAGGAACCGCTACTACTACAGCAGGGCAACCCTTTTGAGACCGAGCCTCACTGAGAGGACTATGCACGGTGCACTCAGTGGCGCTCATGGAGGATTCCAGGCTCAACCCTTCGATTTCGAGGAGGAGAAAAAGCTGCTCCTGGCCGCCCGCGAGGACCGCGACGACGACGTCAAGCAGCAGATCATGGACGAGTCTCACGAGGAGAAAGAGAACATGGGCACCCTTTGCTACGGATTCAAGAAGCGGCTCAAATACTTCAAAAAACGAACTCCAGATCCCGAATGGTCGCTGCCGGCTGACATTCCCCAGATCATCCTGCAGCCTTCAGTTGCCACAAAGAGGAAGCCGCAGACCCAAGGCCTCGGGTACGACGAGGAGCTGATGGAGGCGCCGCGGACAGTTCTACGGCTCGAAGGGCTACTCCATCATGCCCACCGGGTCGGATTAGCTCCATTGGGCGCTCATTACAGCCTACGCTTCACGCTCGATAAGGTGAACGCCAAGCCCTCGTTTCAAGGATCGCGTATACTGCACATGTTTTGTCCGCTCAGTCGCTGCGTGCACAGTCAACTACACTGCCAGGCTGTTCCTGGACAAGCTCAATGCAGCGACAGTGCGACGCAAAGTCAGGCACATCAAACTCTGCAAACGCTTCGACTCCCACCAAGCGTAGCTCATGCAGTTCATCGCGATGGGCCCACGGTCGGACGCGGAGAACGAGGCGGAACCGACGGAGGAGCAGCTGCAGCGGGCCAGCATCCAGGATACCATTCATCGCGCACTACTTCAGATATGAGCGGTGGTCAAGGAGGGCATGGCACCAGCGGGAGTCAGGGATGGTGAGCTGGCTGCCTGGTTTGCAGGACAGTGAATTTATATGGAGGCTGACTATCTACGCCATGGTCGGTTTCAAGCTCGGCGCGCGCGACGCCGCGAGCTGAGTGAAGGCACCCGCGCTGCGCGGGCGACGGCGGGGGCTAGAGCATGAGGCGCGCGCCAGACTCCGCCCCCCGATGCCGCTCTTCCTTTTATTCTTAGTATTATTCCTCCTCCTCCTCCTCCTCCTCCTCCTCCTCTTCCCCCTCCTCTTCCACCCCCTCTCCTCCCCCTTTTCCCATCCCCCCTTCCCTCCCCTCCTCCCCCCCTTCCCCTTCCCCATCCATCCCCCCCCTCCCCCTCCTCCTCCCCCTCCCCCTCCTCCCCTCCTCCTTCCTCCCTCCTCCTCCTCCTCCTCCTCCTCCTCCCCCTCCTCCTCCTCCTCCCCTCCCCCTCCTCCTCCCCCTCCTCCTCCCACATCCCCCTCCTCCTCCCACCCTTCGCCCTCCTCCTCCTGAGGGGGAAGGGGGGGGGTGGGGGGCGTGCAATGGGGGGGGGATCAATGGGGGGGCAACGAGGGCTGCAGAGAACGGACCCTTTTGGGAGGGGAGGGGAGGAGGGGGGGGGAGGGAAGGCGAGGAGGGGAGAATGGGAGGACGCGCAATGGGGGGGGGGTGCGAGGGCCGCAGAAAAGATGCTGTTTGGGGTCTCTGAAAGGGCCCCTCCGTGCCCCCCAAAAGAGTTCTCTAGGGGCCCTCAACGGGCTGGGGCCCTTTAGGGCCCCTGAAGGGGCCCTAAAGGGCCCCAACGAGGGCCTGGAGGGCCCGAGAACGGCACCTTCCTTCCACCCCCCATTGATCGCCCCCCTCAGCATTTCGCGCCCCGGGGGGGGGGGGAGAGGGAGGGCGAGGCGGAAGAGGGGGGGAACACGACCAGGAACAGGAATAGCAAGATGGCGGTGTCATGTCAAACCTCAGGGCCACAGAGTATTGCATTCGCAGCGCAGCTCAGGTCTTGGGGAACACCTCCTCACAGATACGCCTCGGGTGTGCCTCCTGGTATCACTCAGGGGCCTGTCGTGGCCAGAAAGGCTTCTTTCCGTGCCTCATTGCTTGTTTTTTTTGTGCGCTCCTTATGGCAGCACGAAGAGTGTGCAACGACACCCTGCAGCCCCGCAGGTCGAACGAGCTCCCGACCGAGGCACTTCCCCCTCCTGCTCCCCCTCTTCCTCCTCCTCCTCCTCCTCCTCCTCCTCTTCCTCCTCCTCCTCATTCTCCTCTTCCTCCTCCTCCTCCTCCTCCTCCTCCTCTTCCTCCTCCCCCTCCTGATCCTCCTCCTCCTCCTCCTCCTCCTCCTCCCCCTCCTCCTCCTCCTCCTCCTTCTCCTCCCCCTCCTTCTCCTCCTCCCCCCCTTTCCCCGCCACGCGCCTGCCGTGAGGGGCGGGAGGCGAGGGCTCCAGCCGTGGGTGCTCGCGTGACCGCGAGGCGGGCGGCAGGGTTGGGGGGGCAAACCCGCGGCGCAGGCGGGAGCTCTGAGAACCCAGCCCCGCAGTCCAATTGCCCACACACACACACACACACACACACACACACACACACACACACACGCGCAAGCGCACGCACGCACGCACGCACGCACGCACACACGCACACACGCACACACGCACACACGCACACACGCACACACGCACACACGCACGCGCGCGCGCACGCGCACGCGCACGCGCACGCGCACGCGCACACACGCACACACGCACACACGCACACACGCACACACGCACACGCGCACACGCGCACACGCACACACACGCACACATGAGCACACGCGCACACGCGCACACGCGCACACGCGCACACGTGCACACGCGCACACGCGCACACGCGCACACGCGCACACGCGCACACGCGCACACGCGCCACACGCGCACACGCGCGCCACGCGCGCCCTCTCCACACGCGCCACGCGCGCCACACGCGCCACGCATGCCACACACGCCACACGCGCCACGCACGCCACGCACGCCACGCACGCCACGCACGCCACGCGCGCCACACGCGCCACGCACGCCACACACGCCACACGCGCCACGCACGCCACGCACGCCACGCACGCCACGCACGCCACGCACGCCACGCGCGCCACGCACGCCGGGGCGGCGCCAGAGGCGCCGCCAGGGCGGTCCAGCGCCGATCCGAGAAATCCGCGCGGACCTCCGAGTTTTTATGTTTATGCCATGTTTCGTTTCCCTATGTGTTGCACCCTCCCCCCTGGCAGGACGCCCGAGAGAGGGACCGCCTCTCGAGCAGCATCCCAGGACACGCAGGGGCCGCGTTGAGAGAACGGCACCCGCGGCCCGACACTTGCGGCAAGCGTGTCGGTCCGAGAGTTCAGGCGGGCGTGTCCCCCTACAGGAGGAATATCAAAAATAGTCAGAAAAATAGTCTGGGGAGGATGTTTCGATTATGTGTTGCCTATTGTTGCATATGTTGGGGTATGTTTGATTTGTCGTCGAAAGTCCGCCTGCACGGGGGTCATGCCCGACCTAATCCTAGAGCTGTCTCTCATTGCCGAAGTGGGCATTGTTTCCGATCTTTGCTTGATATGTTCCCCTCCTCCTTTTCCCCCTCGCCCCCCCCCTCATCCCCCCCTCCTCCCTCTGCGATTGCGAAGGCCTCACGGCCAATGCCGCCGACCCTGAATGGCGACGACGACGACGACGCCCCCTCCTCATCCCCCCTTTCCTCCCTCTGCGATTTCTCACCGTCGCCCGAGGTCTCCATGCCGTCGTGGGCGAAGTCGGCCCACGGGCGCAGCCGCGGCAGCGCCGCGCCGACACGGTCGCTGACGAGGGAGCCATCGTCCTTGTTTCGCCGGCCCGTCTTCGCAAAGAGTCAAGGTGAAGATCAGTATCCTCTCTCCCCCGATTATGGCCTGGAGTGGCCCGCCCTCTTCCGCGTAGTGTCCCAGGCTCGAGTTCGAAAGTATGTGTTTCGATGGGTTCGTGTTCGTTCGGAACGTCTGTCTAGAATGCACCGCAGTGCCCAACCTCATAGTTTGTATCTCCAGGTGGCGAGTATGTGCACGCAACGTTTCGCGTTCCGTTTTGTCCCCCCCCCTCCTCTCCGAAATCCCGCCGTCGGCGTGATTGGATCTTGGGCATGCCTCTTTCACTTGCGACTGGCAGGGGGTTTGAGAAGATAGTTCCTGCTATGCTTCTCTGTGATTGTCGTTGTGCCAGGCCTTCTCATACAAGGGGTCGATTGGATCATGGGGGATGCATGCACAACACCATTGTGTCTCTTCCCAGGCTGTCCATGTCCTCCTCCTCCTCCTCCTTCTCCTGCTCCTCTTCCTCCCTCTCCCCATGCACGGAAGTACAGGGGCAATACTTGTCGCAGGTATTTGTGGTGTCGTCAGATTGCCTCCCAGGCTAGGGCTCTCTGCACAGGCTTGCCTGTTGCAGGTCGGCTTGTGTGGCGTTCCCGGTCTGCCCGGCATCTCCCTGGTTCGCAGCATGATTCTGATAGTTGGGGCGTCGAGTGTTGTCTTGTTTCCCGAGTGCGCAGGACACTCCGAAGGGAGTTCGGCCATCTGGCGGCCGTCAGTCGGCCCGAGCTAGCTCGACGTCCGCTGCCGACCATGACAAAACAAATCGGTGTCTCAAGTGGTGTTCCCGTTGCAGCGTTAGCCTCATTTGGGGATCGACGCTTTGCTCCCATGGTTCAGAGTAGCGCTCTCGCCCCGGCGCGGATCGCTTTTTCTGGATCCGAGTGCGTCCTCATCGTTGTCGCCCATCTGCTTTTCCCTCCCCCTTCTTCCCCTGGCCATCCTGCTCCTCCCGCTTCTCCCACTCCTGCTGCTGGTGTTGTTCCTCGCCATCCTCCTCCTCCTCCTCCTCCTCCTCCTCCTCCTCCTCCTCCTCCTCCTCCTCCTCCTCGTCCTCCTCCTCCCCCCCCTCCTCCTCCTCCTCCATCCTCCTCCTCCTCCTCGTCCTCCTCCTCGTCCTCATTCGCCACCTCCCCCTCCAACGTACGAAGCTCCCATTGTGTGATCGCGCACGACAGTGGTATCCTGCTGGGGGGTCCAATCAAAAGGGCAGGACGGGAGGGGTAGGATGTCAGACATGGCGCAAGCGCACCTAGCTTGTCCTTCCGTCCTCTCCTGTCCCTCTCCTTCATTTACACCCCTCCCCTTCTTCCATGATCCCTCTCCCCTCCTCTGCCCCTCGCCTCCCTTTTTCCCTCCTTACCTTCCGTCATCCCCTCCCTATCTTCTCTCTGTCTTCCCTTTATCCCACTTCTCTTCCTCCTCCGGTCTCTTCCCTTCCGCCCTCCCCTCCCTATCCTTTTTGCCCTCCTTTCTCCCCCTCCTCACTCCCCGCCCTTCCCATCCATCCTCCGCTTCCTATCCTCTCTGCCCCCCACCTTCCCCCATCCCTTCTCCCTCCCATGCTGCCTCCCTTCCCCTCGCTCCTCCTCCTCCTCCTCCTCCTCCTCCTCCTCCTCCTCCTCCTCCTCCTCCTCCTCCCCTCCTCGTTCGCCCCGCGGGCGGTATCTTCCGAGCCTCCCACAGACTTGGCCGCCGCCCCAACTCTTCCTGCACCGCGTCGACGGCCCCGCTCAGGGAATGCCCAGCTTGCGCCGCGCGGGGAGGTCCGGGCGTTCCTGCGCCCGGTCGCCGTGGCCGAGCCTCCCGCCCACGCTGGCGCCGACGACGAAGCGGTGGTCGACGGCTCCCACCGTTGTGGGTGACCCGGGCGGCCCGCACGCCGACGTCCGGACCCAAAGCCACGGGGTCGTGCAGGCGGAGGGGGCGAAGCGTTTCAGGGATGCCAGCCACTTGGCCCGAGCGGGCATCCATGCGGGACGCAGGAGTGCCGCGGCGAGCTGTTCCGCAGGGAGGTGGACGCATTGGCCACGGCGGCCGCCGGCCTGCACCACCATCCACCTGAGGTCGGTGCTGCTGGCGTCGGCGCAGGCTCGCCGCGGAGCTCCACTGCACGGACGTCCCCATCTACGCCTCGCGCCGCTCTGTAATTCGGACGGCGGCGCAGTCCTCCGTTGGCCCCCCACTCAGACGGAGCCCGACGCCACATCGGTCATCTTCGCGAGGGAGCCGCCACAGACTTGGCCTCTCTGGCGCCCACGGCCAGAGCGCCCCACGCGTTCGGCTCTGACTCGGCATCGCCGCGTCCAGTCCCGGCCTTCTCGTCGGGACTCATCCCCGCCGAGGGACGTGCCCCTGAGGGGGCCGGCCCCAGGCCGTTGGGCCGGCCCGCTCCCATCCACCTGCCCCTCCGCTGGCGCACAGTCGGACCGAGGTACCAGATCGAGGTCGGTTCGGGGAGGGTACCCTAATGTGCTTCGTGTGTGTTGGACGTTCTTGTGCGTCCTGGGGAGGGCGCCCTTGAATGCTCTGTGTGTTCTGGCCGGCGGAGGGTCTCATGTTCTTGAAGGGTGGTCTTCTGTCCCAAGTAGGTCCGACAGTACATCCAGCGGGGCCGTATGCTGCCCCCTCGGCATGTGTGACCGGCGGCTCGACGGCCACTCCAGCTGCGGCTCCACCGCCCCGCGGCGCGCCGCCACCCGCACCCGGCCGCGAGGACCACCTCCGCTCCATGCGCGGGCCTCACGCCTGCGCAGCAACGCACCGCCGAAGTCTGCGTGCGCTTGGCCCGGCTCCGCGCCTCCGCTGCGCAGGCGCCCCGCCAAGCCCTCACGGGGCGAGGCTCCGCGCTGCCCAGCCCCATCGAGCCGCACAACTCGCTGTCGTGGCCGCTGCGGCCGCCCGGTCCGCCGCGGCCACTTCGGCCGCCCGGGCCAGAGCCTCGGCGCACGTGTGCCCGAGTTCCGTGCCGCCGCCACCGGGCCCACCTGGAGGGACCGCCTCCGCTCCGCCGCACGCCGCGGCCCCCCCAACCAGGGCATCCTGGCGCCCTGCCAGGCCCTGGCGAGTCTCGCTGCCAGCGTGCGTCGGCGCGTCCCCGCCGCGGGTCAGCCTCGGCGACCCAGCGCGCGTCCGCCTCTCTGGCCCCTTGTTGAGGAACGCCCGTGGAGAGGCCTTTTTTCTCCCGCGCCTGGGTGGCGAGGGTTGGCCCCAAGTGTTGCCAGACCCCGTCGCCCCTGCGCGTACTCTTGGCGGTCCTCCTGATTCTCCCCTTCCTCCTCCCCTCTCCTCCTCTCGTCCTGATCCGCCTCCGCCTTCTAATTCTTCCCCTCCTCTCTCTCTCTCTCCCCCTTCCACTACCCCTCCTTCTCCCCCTTCCCCCTCCTCTCCCATCCTCCCCCCTCCTGATTCTCCCTCTCCTCCTCTCGTCCTCCTCCGCCTCGCCTTCTCCTCCCCCTCCCATTCCCTCCTCATCGTCTTACCCCTTCACTTGTCTGTTTTCGCCGTCTGAGCCTGCTCCTTAGTTCCTACAAAGGCTCCTTCCCTTAATAGCTCCCCCTCCTCCTCCTCCTCCTCCTCCTCCTCCTCCTCCTCCTCCTCCTCCGCCTCCTCCGCCTCCTCCTCCTCCTCGTCCTCCTCCTCCTCCTGCTCCTGCTGCTGCTGCTGCTGCTCCTCTTCCTCCTCCTCCACCTCTTCCTCCTCATCGATCTCATCCTCCGCCTCTTCCTCCTCCTCCACAGTTACCTCCGCTTATTGTTTGTTACGCAGGATTGCTGGCAGTTTGTTTTGTTTTTTTTTTCGCAGGATTGACGCAGGATTTTAACGCTGGATGTACGCAGGCTGTTTTTTGTTGCCCCATTTCTGCACCTCTGGTCGTTTCAAATCGTGTTCCCGCTGCAGCGCGGGCTGTTCTGGCCCTTCCTAAATAGGTCCAACATCTACCAAATGACCCCCCGAAAAAACATCAGAAATTGACACATCTGGTGTCGATTCCTTGATTTTTGGGGCCGCAGATTTGGGGCGTAGGTATCGCCGCTTTGAGGAAGTATCAGGCGGGAGCCCCTTTCTGCTTTGAGAAGGCGATTTTGAAAGCAGGGCTAGCGGATGCTCTGCGTCAGCCCCGCCTCGTGGGAAGTTTTCCGGGGAGCCCAGGGAGTTGAACATGGAACCGCGACGTCAGACCAGCCCAGACTTCTCGAAGACGATCAATTTATGTTCCAAGGAACCCAGTGTCATTCCATGACATGCAGCGCGGTGTTGTGTTAGGTGCCGCTGTGCGATGCCATGTTTTACGTTGCAATGCTGTGTGATACTCGGCGGCGAGCGAGGGGGGAAGTGAGAAGGAGAAGGCCTTCTCAGAAGGCGGCGGGACTGCTCAGAAGCCCTCGCGCCTTCTGAGAGGTTGTTTGTTTTCGGAGAAGGCTTAGAAAATTTACCAGAAGGTCGGGGGACTTCCGAGATTTCTGAGAAGGCCCGCCCTTCTCGCTTCCCCCCCTCGTTCGCCGCCTAGATTCAATGCTCCACTACGCAATGCCACGCCTTGCTACGTTCTGCAGTGCTCTTCTACGCCATGCTATGCCGTGCTCTACTATGCATCGCGTATGTACCCTACTGGGATCATTGCCCTGCTCGACATCCAATTGTGAGAAGAGAGAGGATATCTACGCCATAGTAAGGGATGGGAGGGAGGGGTAGGACGTCATATGACGCCAGCGAGCCTAGTTTGTCCTCCTCCCCGTCCTCCTCCTCCTCCTCCTCCTCCTCCTCCTCCTGCTGCTGTTGCCCCCTCCCCTTGAATGTCCCTGGTGAGAATGAGAGTGAAGGAATGGACCAGAGGAGGGTCCAGCAAAGGTCGTTGGATGAGAATGAGCGCATGCGGCGCTACGTGAAGAGCACCAGGGCCACGACATTGGTGAAGTGCACCCGAGTGAACACGGGGCAACGCAGGGCAAGCCGAGCGCGTG